ACCCTATTTCCTATTTTGCGAAAATTAGAGTATCAGTTCCCGGTACTGCACTGTGCTACACCGAGGACTCGTGAAAAAATGCTTATTGTTAAGAACATCATTATCAATATAAATGAAATGAACCTGTCTCACGCGGAAGGCTGGTTGGTTGAGATCCTCGGTCAAATTGTTGTTTTCTTTGTTACGCGCTGGTAGAAAAAATGTTGTTTGCAACTCGGAAAAGTATCACTTACCGCAATTGTTAGGAAAATAATTATCCTGTATTGGGTATCTGCAGGTAGCCAGAATATTGGGTATTCCAAATTTGACTTTCATCTTTGGGATCTCGGAAACGGTCAGACTTACCAACTCGGCTAAATGAGAGCAAAGCTTTGCATTTAGTTGACTGTAAAATGACACTAGTTCCGATGATACACGAAAAAAACTGAATTTTTTCAAAACATTGTGCAATTTGCCCTGACTTTATTCGACGCGTGCAATTTATGTGGCTATCGAAATACTTTGAAGCTTCCTATATACCATCACTTAAATGCGCAACTTTGTCCCAATTTTACTGACTCCGTATTTCTTACCATTTCCAAGATCCCAATGGTGAGGGTCAAATTTGAAACACCCCATATAGCTGACCGGTCTGTATCATGCTCTAATTTTTTCTCTTGGAACTTTTATCGAAACTTAAAAGTCTTATAAGAAAAATTATATTGTGCTGCATTTTCCTGAAACTTAAAAGTTTTATCAAAGTAAGACAGAACAAAGTGCCAGAATCGACCACTGCGAAAGTGAAAACAGCAAGTTGTCTGTGGCCAAATAGCACAAAATAGCCATCCATAGTTGGCCGCCTGTGGTCGGAAGAACCAAAGGTATATAACTACTTTATTGTGAACTTTTGTGAAAACTTTACATTGTATTGAAAAAATGTAAAGGGGCAACATCGACTGTCGTTACAAATGTCGTTAACCTTCTGCATTCCGTGTACATCCTGGATCATTTGGTTTGATTGGCTAGTTCAAAAAGTCCTGCATTCTGATTAGCTACCTGAACAAAGGATTTGAAAACAGTGCTGCCCAGTTGTGCATAAAGTCTTTGAAAGACTGATAAATGGATAAATTATTTACAACTTTTATTTTCCAAAGCTTTTTGACTTACATCTGATAGACGGGTATTTCGGGATTATTTAAACCTACAAAGGGTGTAGTGGAAACACCTTGTAATCTTGTAAACAAAACAAGAAGATTGATATAATTGTAACGGTTTCACCGTCCGATTGTATTTATTAAATCACTTCTCGATTTTCATTTCAGAATCGCAACTCATTAATCCCATCTCTAGCTTATCCCATCTCTAGCTTATCCCATCTCTAGCTTTTTTACTTGGAAACATTTCGGCTTGGAGCGCGCGTGATGCGGAGTTCCTGATCTGTGATCTTCCTCGCGCTTCCTTTTTCACTTCAGCCGCCGATCTAACAACAGCTGAGAATTTTCTTCTGTAGCATGAGGTCATATAGCACCATGTGCTAGCATTTTGTAAAATGTGTGTCTAAATAGGATAAAATGGTGAGTTTTATAATACTATACAGTTTTATTGCTGGATCTGCCTGTAGTTTATAGATAATCGATATGTAAGTGGATTATTTCTTGTACGATTTTAAAATATCCATCGAACGTCATTTTCGACTGCTTCGATCATTCGCCATAACTAATCGAGGTAGAAATCGATCCACATCGATCTTACCTCTGTGTGCGTATATATATATTCATAGTTCAGTGAAATTATGAGTACGTTGATTATGAATTTTCGATATTTGTGTTTTTATATCAGAAGCATGTGGAGAAATTTTTGATGACCACCATCTTGTTTACGCTTTTTTTGCTATTTCATGATTTTATTTTATGAAAGGCATTTCCAATTTTCGGTTTGATTTTATCAAGCTATGTAATGTAATTCTAACCTAGAAAATCGTTGGTTCTCTTTTGAGGCAGACTGAGATTGGAAATGCCTTGGCCATTGGGGCACGTTGCTAATGCACACGGTTCTTTTTCAGATTGGGGCCACCCCCTTTGCCTTGGCCTTTGACTTTGCCTTCGTTTGTCTTTGACTTTGGCTTACCTATTGCTTGGCCTATCACTTTGCCATGCATGTGGCTTGGCAGCGCCATCACTTACAGCTTCATCCTAGATGAAGATCACGTTTAAGTTCAACTTCACTGCATCCCTCGCCTACATCTAGTTTTGAAGCCACTAAATATGAGGTCACCCCTCATAACTGGGACCTTCACTTGAAACCCTTGGCCATCCTGGCTTCAGTCCAGTCAAAATGGACCAGCTTAGCGAAAGATAAGTGGATAGTTTTGTAACAGCGCCAAAGATTTAAAACTTTTATTTTTTTCTTTAAAATTTGCACAATGTTAATTCTCAAATGTAATGAAAGTGCTTTTCTAGTTTAATAAAATCTGTTAAATTTTTGTGTTCTGTTTGTTACACGCCTGTAGATGTCTTCATGCCACCGACTGAGCTGTGATTGTGCAGGAAAGTTGGAATCTTCATTACATTCCATCTTTCTGGACTTTTTGCGGTAAGGAAGATTTACAAATATACCATAGGATTGCTTGTATTTGAAGGCCTGAAACTCCTTACTGGAATGCTTCTTATTAAATTTTGGGTAGAGGGTGAAACACTAATCTCAACCCCGCCGTAAAAATCTTCAACAAAATGACAACAGTGCAACTTTCACGGATAAATTACAACAATTTACAGCAGTGTAATACAGGGTCCGCCAAAGGAACCTGATCAGTTTCAATATGAAACTACAAATGTATGTTTCAAGATATTTATTTTCATATATAAGTAATCGAACATGCCATTTTATGTGTGGAAAATAACTTCGGTCAAATGATGTCCTTCACTGCGGACACACTCTTCCAAACGGTTTCGCACATTCCCCATTACGCGCTGTACCATACTCATCGGAATCGCGCTAATTTCATTGCGAATGTTTTCCTTCAATTCTTCAATGATCCTTGGGCTCGTTAAATATACCTTGCTTTTGAGATAACCCCATAACCAATAGTCACAAACCGTGAGATCGGGAGACCTTGCCGGCCAAAGAACATCTCCATTCCGCGAAATGACTCTTCCTGGAAACATTTCTCGCAGTCGAACCATTGTTGCTCGTGCTGTATGCGCTGTGGCGCCATCTTGCTGAAACCATACAGTATTTAAATCTATGTTCCGCCGACGAAGCTCTGGTTCCAAAAATGTGTTTAACATTTCCAGATAACGTTGCGAATTGACCGTGACAGAATTTCCAGCATCGTCCTCAAAAAAATAGGGTCCAATTATGCCGAATCGCGACACTCCGCACCAAACAGTAACCTTGCGACTATGAAGGGGTCGCTGGTGAAGTTCTCTCGGGTTTTCTGCACATCAGTAGCGAAAATTCTGCTTATTTACGTAGCCTGATAACTCGAAATGCGCCTCATCAGACATAATTAAGCCACCTAAAGCGTTTTCATCCAAAAGTTCTAGAAGCTGGTTGCTTGCAGTCAAACGGTTCACAAAGTCTTCAGCTGTCAGTTCTTGAACCATCGCTAATTTGTAAGGGTGATGTAAATCCTTATGCAAAATTCGCCGCACTGTTGTTTCTGAAAGCCTTAGACTAATTGCTTGTAGCCTAGCTGTACGACGTGGACTTTGCTGCACCGCTGTTCGCACCCTCTCAATATTGGCTGGAGTCCGAACTGTTCGACGCATTCCTGGTGGCTTAGCTTTTCATTGCTTATGCAGATGGACGAAAATGTTTGACCCACAACTTGTGTTACGGCATGGAACAGAACCATGACGTCCGACATTGAAATGTGTACGAAATAGACGCTGTGTAATGATCACCGAGTCGTGATTTTTAAAATACGTCTCGACAACAAATGCGCGATGTTCACTGCTCCATGACTACTGAAATGGCATCTACTACCGATGTCTTGCCCACTGTAACCGATGTTCTACCTCAAAAAACAGCTTCGTACTATCCATTCTGAAAACGCCAGGTTCCTTTGGCGGACCCTGTACATTGAGCAGACACCATAAATTATCTGATTTTTTTACTTTCCCGGATATTTCAAGTTTTGATTCGAATTTTGAAAGTTTGATGGGCAATGCAATCAAATATGGTTTTTCGCACCATCACTTCTATGATCTACGTAAGTCGTACCTCGAAAGTCGTAAAGGATGCTGCAAACTCCAAGGTAGTTCTGTTGCAAAAAAACGTAATAGTAGTAGTAGAGGTGGGTGAAGGTTAAGCCTGGCAGCTAGGCTACCTCCTTACTGTCCTCTATTTTACTTCGCACACCAACTGCGACTGCCTTTCTAATGAGAGATCTGGGGGTTATCATTGCTTGGGGACCCAACAGTCTGATACAGCTTAATACTTACAAAGCACAGCCTGACCAACAAGAAAGAGCCCTAGAACGGCCGCTCCGTTGCTCCAAGGGTGACAAGATTGTGGGACAATCTGCCTGAGAAGCCTTTTCCAGTTCTACTTATGATGATAATTCCATTGGATTCTTGACTCAAATACACTTAATTGAGATTCAAAGCTAGACAGTAGTTGCGCATCCACTTTTTCTTATCTGTTCGGGAAATTACACATGCAAATTTGCTGAATTTTAAAAATGAGAGAGATAAGAAATAATTATATTCACTGTACACTGTCGAATTACAAGCCAAATGACGGATGTCTTTTAAGTTTTGCATATAGAAACATAGTAGGCCGCGCGGATCAAACATCAGTACTGAATCTTAACCTCACTCTTTAGTAAACTTAAATTCAAAGTTTCACAACAATACGTGCAGTGTTCTCACTACAGTGAATTTTTATGTGTCACCAAGTCATTAGAAAAATGGAACTTAACCGAGAACATTCTTGTGCCATAATTTATTACAACTTTCAGAGACAATTATCGCAACAAGAATGCCTTGCTGAATTACTGTTTGATTTTGGCAACGAAGCGCCACATCAGTCGACAATTTCTCGTTGGTATGGAGAATTCAAACGTGGACGGGTGAGTCTTAACGACGATCCCAGGGTGCGTGCACCAAAAACGGCAGTCATCCAGGAAAACGTCGATGCTGTATGCAAAACTCATCATTGAAGATAGACATGTGACATATCGCGAGATTGAGGCGTCATTGAAGATCTCCGAGACCTCAATTCAAAAAATTTTACACGATGAATTAGGAGTAAGAAAATTAGTTTCTCGTTGACTGAAGACGAGAAAGCAGCCAGGGTTAATTGGTGTCAAAAAACGCTTGACCGTCCAGAAACTCAGAAAATGTGTACAGCATTGTTAGTGGTGATGAATCGTGGATTTACTGTTATGGATCAGAAAATAAACAACAGTCGGCTGTCTGGGTGTTCCAAGGTGAAGAAAAGCCAACAAAAGTCATCTATTCTCGAAGTGTTTCGAGAAAGATGGTCGCGACATTTGCGTCAAAAGCGCGTCATATTGCAACAATTCCTCTTAATGAGCATAGAACCATCCTCTACCAAAACAATGCAAGCTCACACACAGCCCAAAAAACAAGGCAGTATTTAACGGAAGAAAACGTGGAATTATTGGACCATCCTCCATATAGTCCCGATCTAAGTCCTAACGATTTCTTTACTTTTTCGAAAGTTAAAAACGGACTGCGTGGTCAAAGGTTCCAGTCACCAGAAGAACCAGTTGATGCATTCAAAAATGCCGTTTTGGGTCTGCCAGCAAACGAGTGGAATAAGTGCTTCGAAAATTGGTTCGAGCACATGCAGATGTGTATTAATCTGGAGAATACTTCGAAAAACAATAAAGTCATTTAAAACTACCTACCGTGTTGTTTTATTTCCATATGCAAGACTTAAAAGACATCCCTCGTATAATACGTACTAACAGTAATTACACACAATGCGGGCGCGGTGATGATTTCCCGTAATTCTCCTGAAAGTTTTTCGTAATTTATAACTTTGAATATAACCTGTCTTCAGAAAAGACAACATATAAATAACCCGTCGGTCATAGCTAATAGATACACTCCACTGGCAGCATATTCATTAATGATTTTCTCACACAGCAAATTTCACTGATTTTGTACACATGCAGACGAATGCACATAATCATCCAGATGCGATCTTGCCATTCAACCAACTTTATTATCAGAGATAAAAGCTACAGACAAGAACCATTTGGCCTCATAAAACATATGCAACCAATAATGCGTGTAGTTTAGTTGAGTGATTCCTCCATAGGGACGTTCACAACGATCTTAGTGGGCAAACGTGGAATGATTCTTTGCACCCTAAAAACTACCTAGTCTGCAAGATGACATCTTACAGGTTTTTCTTATTCAACCTGGAAATTAAATATTATGCCAATCTGTTGAATTTAATAAAAGAGAGCGATAATACAAAAAATGTGTATACGAATGTATGTATATTAAAACTAACAGGTGAGAAAATATGGTACATACAGGAATATTTATGAAAGGTAAAAAAGTTGTTACATTTCACATTAATTTAAATTCACTCGTTTAAATTTTATAGAAATTTATTTTACGATGTCAAGTAGAAAATGTAAATCAGCGCCTGGATGTGAGGCAGTGCGAAAATATTTTGTATGTGATGCGTCATTCCTAATTTTGCTGAGATGTGGTTTAATTACACACAACGCTGGTGCGGTGCTGATTTCCCGTAAATGTTTTTGAAAACGCAAAAAGAAGCGGAGAATATCGCAATGTATAGCTTTGAACATAACCTCTCTTCACAAAGGACAACACAAATAACCCGTCTGGTACAGGTTATAGATATATTTCATGGGCAGTATATTCAGCAATTAAATAAATATCACTCATTTTATACACAGACCAATACAGACAATCATCCAGATGTGATGTTGCTACTCTGCTACTCAACAACACATTTCCCACTCTGAAACCATAAAAGTGTGATGGACCCTTTTGATGACGCTGATAGCGAGGAAACTATCTAGGCAGCAAGTTCACATTTTGTCGTTTTTTTTTTTGGACGATTTATGGGGTTTTTATATAGTAACCCTGCCGAACATACTCCTGCATGAACTGATGACAGCGTTGCTTTGGAAGTGCAGAGTAAACCTACTTGACGCCACTTTTTTCATTTCATTGTGAAAGTGGGTGCACAGGTCCATATGAGATGGCACCAAGCTGTCAAATGACCAGATGTCAGGTGCCAGCGAGGACGAAACATAGATCCGCAGGGGTATTACCTTAAAACCTTATCTTAAAAAATTTAACATAATCTGCACAGTTTTCATTTTTTCCGTGTCAGCGCTATATTTTGAGGCTATGTCACAAATATCTATCTGCATCAAATTGTGCATGCTTTTGATTAATATCATGTTTTATCAGCCTGAAATTTCTTACAATTTAAAAAGAAAATATATCTTCACAATAGGAAAGCGCTGACGCTGACACAGAACAGGTACAATCTAGAAATTTTTGAAGGAGAGAAAGCAGTATGACAATCAAGGAGGCCATAAAGGTGTCCTACAATTGTAGGAGCGACTGACAATACGGCCCTAAGGGACTACATCAAACATCAGGCGCAGTTACGTTATAGTCAAGCGGAATCGCACCCTCTGTTTCATGAGTCAGTAGACTATACAGTCGAGCAAGTTCGCAAGCACACAAGACCGCGGCTCGCACTGTGTTCAAAATCAAATCGTACAATTCTAGGTCCAACCAAAATCACGTATTTTGCCACACACAAATTACTAAGTTAATTTTTGGATCAATTTAAAATATCCGAATACCAGTTAACACTAGCAAGGCATCCCTTTAACAGGCGCACTTCACCCTCTTTACTGTTCCCCCTTTCTTCCTCCTTTCTTTCTCCCTGACTTCGTCTGGTATCTGGGCAACCAGACCTGACTGACCTACGACACTTTAACAAAGAGCGAAGGTCCCACGGACCGTTCTGTCGGAGAATGGCGAATAGAATAATATTACGTAAGAAATCTAATGTACGAGCCCCTTCCCACTTCAGTTGGCCCAACTATTGAAATCTTAGTTTTTTTATTATCAAACACAAATAATAAAAATGTAACAGGGTGTTATAGGTTTAAAATATTAACAATGCATATTTTGATAATATATAGTAGAAAACACCAACTTTATCACTCTCTAATCAAATTTGCAGCATAAAAATAACACATGTAGCCATATCAACCAATTTTCATTTCAATGCAAAATAAGTCTATAAGGCACAAGTGGCTGTGAAAAATAAAAGCCATGACAATTGTTTTTACTAATCACAGCTGTCAGAATACGTTTAAAATAGATAGTTAAGGTTTTCAAAATGAGTAGAGGAAAGGTTATTAGTGAGAAAATTCGGTTACTGATAATTAGTTTTTTTAATTCTGGGAAATCAAACTCAGAAATTGCAACTTTGTTAGACTTATCGCGGTACAGTGTGAGGAATATTGTTAGAAGATATAACGTAACTGGTTCAGTTAATATTAAGCCACGATATGTGAAAAAAAGTAACATAACAAATGCCGACCGAAGAGCATTAAGAAGAATAATCGTGAAAAACAGACGTGCCAATTATTTACAATTAAATGCTCTGTGGAATGACGCTGTTGGAAGGAGAATTTCGAGGTCTACAACTCATAGAGAGGCCCACAAACTGGGATTTAGCACTTGCAAGGTAAGTTTTCTTATAAAAAAAAAGTGAAGTAAAAACCCTAAAGGTGCACAACTTGTTTATAGGACAAAGAAAAGCCACTATTAACTCCACTGCAAAAGAAAAATTGGCTTAGATGGGCTAAAGAACATAGACAATGGACACCTCAACAACGATGTGCAATAGAATGGAGTGATGAGGCCCGATTCGAAGTTTCTGTTGGTGACAGTCGCAGTAGAGTTATTCGCAAAAAAATTAAGCATTCCATGTTGACTGTCTGAAGAGAAAAGTGAAACTTCCAGCATCCATCATGTTCCGAGGCAGTATGTCATCAAAAGGAATAGGAAAACTTCATTTTATTGATGGAAATGTGGATACAAACAAATATTTGGCAATTTTAGAAGAATCGCTTTTACCAGTGATGGAAGAATGTTTGACATCCGGCCAAGATTTTGTATTTCAGCAAGATGGTGCAGCGTACCATACCTCAAAAAAGGCCATAAAATGCATGGAAGAAAATAATGTACCACTTTTGAAATGGATTTCTAGCAGTCCAGATCTGTCACCTATTGAAACTTTGTGGCACGGGATGAAAAAGGTTCTACGACAACATTGCTCGTACAATCACCAAACTGAGACAAAAGCTTAACGAAATAAGGGATTGTTTTACACCAAATTTTTGCCAAAACTTGGTTAACACTATGCCCTAAAGAATTTCAGTCGTAATGAAAAATAAAGGTGATGTTACCCAATGGTAATCTTTCAGTTGTTGCTTTGTTAACTTCGCGCATTTATTCGCACATTGTTTATTTGTTCAGATGTTCTACTAGTTATAGGTCTAAGTAATTTCAAATATGTATTTTTTACGTCTAGAGTGTATCTTAAATGTTTTTTGAGAAAATAAATTGTCTTAGAAGTGAATAGTTTCCTCATGTTTAGTTTATAAAGGCATATTTTGGTACAAACCTAGAAGTGCGCCAACTGAGGTGGGAAGCTGCTCGTATTGTAACAAAATTTTTACTTAGTATCACCTTTCAAAGTTACAAAATACCCCTGCGAGAAAAATATGAGACTATTCGTACCCAAATTTCTCCAGTCGCTGCGAAAACCAAGTATGTTTCTGACTCAGCAGAGTGCATTCACAAAATAGCGTCAGCTGTATATTTTCGACGGAGGCGACGACAGAACGTCCCCATTCGGGCAATCATATTTTGTAAATAAAAAGGAATTGGTCATATTTCTGTCGGCAGCAACTCAATAATTCCATTTCCGGGTGTTTCCTGTCCTCCTCCAGCGACCATTCAGGATGACCGACGTTACATCGCAGCCGCCATTATGTTTTATTTCAAAGGAATCCGATTGTTCCGGAAAAGCTGTTACCACGTTCGATAATGGCTCGTGGGAAAAAAGAGGTCTTTAATTTTCTCACACAATGTGTGGATTGATACAAGATGAGTACATTCCGTGACCTGTTATTGGAAATGTATGAAACTAATTACGATACGGAAAAGTGTTACTTCAAAGTTCACAGACTCAAGAGAAGCAGAATAACTAATGGCAGACCTTTAAGTTTCGGACTTCATAAGCAATGCTACCAAGTGATCAAGAAACCTGAGGCTTTTATCAAAGACAGAAAGCCGGTGCTATCGAGATAGTATTGAGAGAGACGCTGTTGTTACGATTTTAAGCGGGAAATATTTTTGTTGCAATATTTGACTATAAACATTGTATGACATATACGACTACACCGGGTGTTTAAAATTTGACTAACACCATTGGGATTTCAGAAACAGTAAGACATATAATAATAATAGATGTTTCCATTTCTTTACAACATTATAATGCAGCTAAGGTAAGACTTGAATGGCGAAATTTAGCGTTTGATACTCTTACATTTAACCACAAAAGTCACTAGCAGATGTTAATAGTTAATATGCTATTCACAAAAAATTTAAATTTCTACTAATAAATTATTACGATAAAGTGAGAACTAGGCATACTTTCCAAGTACACCAAAAAGTAGAAAAGTGGGAAAAATGTTAGGAAAGTAAAAAAAACAGGATTGTATCGTCAAGTCATTGAAGTAACGATAATTTTGTCGAAAAGCTGGTAATGAGTATTGCTTATACAAGTTAGGTAAATAATTATAATATTGTGGCAACATTGTATGGGAAACAGCGTTGAAATAGAGGTGTTGAATACTGAGGTATCATGACAGTTTTATCCCTAAGTGGTCTAGAATGAATGTCACTGTTAAATGAAACCTTTTTTCGCAAGTAATGCGTTTTAGATGGAAGTGATAATTTATGGATGAAAGCTGAGTAGTGATATTAAACCAAATCATTTATTTTCAACCAAATGAGTATTGGATATTTTGCTGATATGTGATCAAATTTCCGGAGTCCAAAAATAAAACGAACACAATTATTTTGGATGATTTGGATTAGGTTATCGGTATAGCTGTATAATTTTTTACGTATCTTGAAATTTAGTAGATATTTGTTTGCAACACCAAGAATTTTTGCAGATTACTTTTTTGGACCTTGGAGGGTGACGTTAAGTCATGCTTCTTTTTTTTGTGCACAAAATAATAACATTTCAGACTTTTCAGGGTGGACAGCCAGATTATGATCAGACGAATATTGGATTAAATATTAAATTAACATCATTTTGTAAAACTTCTACAGTATTTTCGACATTCTGGAGATTAAAATAAAGTAACAATTGTGTATCGTCTGCGAAAGGTTGGATATGTCAATTATCAAGGATTTTGTTCAAGCCAAAAGCGTATATTATATGAAGTCGGTTTAACAGGAGAAACGTTGCGCCTTCAGGTAAAATGGCACTTTGAAGCTTTCGTAATTCCGAGTATTTTCGGAAAAGGACGGAAGAAACAGAATTTTCTCAAAACCGTTTTTATTTTTCTTGACCTTGTCTGAAAAGGGACTTCAAAATAAAAAGTACATACATTACTTCAGATTGTATGGTGGTAGGCTTAGGTGAACAGCCTTATTTTGATCTGATATCGTACATACAGCGTGTCCGAAAAGTTCGGTTTTCCCTTTCAGGCACAACCACGCTTGACTTAACAAAGCTAATGTGTGATGGAATATAAGCGAACAAGTAAAAAAATAAATGAAAAAGTACTCACTGTTCAGTTGAATCCAAATTCCAAGTACGGCCCTGTCGTAGAATCCGAGGAGCACATGTAACAAGAATAACAAAAAAGAGATCGAAAACATGACGTCGGTGTCATTTTTTCATGGTGAACGTATTTTATAAGTACTGTTCGAAGTTGTCGCCGTTGGATTCAGAAACACATGTGCGGGCTCGACATAGCCAAGCATCGGTGCAGACTTTTGGAATGGAGTCCCTTCCCCGAATGAATGTAGCAGCTTGCTCAATTATCAGATGTAATTTGTCAACCGTGTTCACCTAAGTTTTGTACACCAAGCGTTTTATTTCGCCCCAAAGAAAAAAATCACACGGTTTTAAGTCTGGAGATCGCGGAGGCCATGCTAGGGGTTTATTGCGTCCGATACACCTATTCGGAAGTGATTCAATTCTCACGCACCTCCCGTCTAAATGGGGCGGTGCACCGTCATGAAGAGACCACATTGATTGTCTTACACTCAAAGGTACATCTAGCAGGGTTGGTAAAAAGTTCTGTAAAAAGTCTAGGTATTGTATTCCATCCAACCGATTCGGGATAATAAACACTTCAATGGGCATACCGTTTACTATGCCAGCTCCTTGCAGCCAGGCAGCGTTTGCCACAGTTTAGTCTTCGACACTTGCACTTGTCTAGCCACGTCCCTAGTGCTTGTTGAAGGATTTTCATCTACGCGATTCAGTACTTCTTCCTCAGTTTGCACCATTCGGGGTTGTCTAGGTCTCCCACTGTGCCCCCCTCGACATTCCTCCAGACGACCGGTATCCATGTGTTACTGCACAATGTAAACAAATCTATCTCATGATAAAACTGTCATTGGATGATGACGTCTGGGAAAACGATCTGCATACACTCGCAAAGCCTCGGTCGCATTTTGAAGACACTCACCGTAAATTAACAGCATGTTGACTAGTTCGCTATTGGTGGTAATGACCTACACTACCGGCGTCTAGGTTAGGTTGCATACGAGCGTATTTACATCGTAGTCGTACGACGTATAACTGTACGCTGGCGCTGGCGCTGTGGACGTGATCAAGAGATAGGACAGGACCGGTTTCGGTTTGGTTCAAGTTCTGATTGAGTTTGTTGATCCCAATATCTCGGTTCTCTCAAGGCATTGGTGTATACGCTACTAAGAAAATCCGCTCATTTTCTCAAGATCATCACGTCGTGTAAAGGAAACCCCGAACGGAGGCCCTGTATATCATGACATGGATTAGTATTATAAAGCTTCGAACATCTAAAAAGGGAAAATTTCTTATAGTTTAACTCATCGGAAACAGAACAGCATAATAATATAAATAGTTGGATATCCTCTTCACAGAAAACAATGCACGCTGACTGGTTTGTCACATTGTTAGGCAATGGTAGGCAAATTAGCCAAAACTATGAACTGAAATTGTACTATTTTGGCGACAAATAAAGCAATGTGAACATATAAAATTGGCTCCTCTAGAACACTATCCGAAATCGTTAGCTGTACCTTACAATAAAACCAATATCTGCTTAATATGCTTTTATTTAACAAGATCAAAGTACTCGCATTTACCTCTGTTGTAAAAATACGATTTCTTTTAATTTAAGTGTCTCTTGTAACAACTCTCGTAATAATAAGGAAGGATACAATGCCGAACTGCGATTTTCCTTCTAAGTAAACAGTGTTTCTGTATAGAGCAAGGAATTTCCTGCTGTGTGTATTGTTTACTCGCGCGCTGGCTTCTCATTATTTCTGAAAATCCTTTTTGAGCTTCACACTTTTCATTCTTCTTTATACTTGGCGGAAAAATTATCGTCTGTGAATTTTTTAAAGGTGTCTTGTCAGTCAATCGTGATCGGATCAGGTCATTGATTTGCAGATTCGATTATGAGTCTGGGGCGCATCCACCCGCGAATAATTTTACAAAGACTTCGGGATTAATTTCTTGTTAGTTCATATTGCGAAAAGTTTTGGAGAATTGAGGTAAGCTTTGTTCCAACCAGCCACCGAAGCGGTTCTGAACTGAATTGGGCATGCGCAGATCGAAATTACTATTCCCGCAGAACACGGAATTGATTCTGTAGCTGGTAGTTATTATGCCCTTAGGTCCAATTTCATCAACATTAGTATGTGGACCAATGGGAAAATACCTTATCGAAATGCAATTTGACAGAAGCTGTCAAAGGTCTTTGAATATTAGTGATTTGTATCGAAATATTGAATAAAATCGTGAAAATTCGACTGTATTATAAACAAGACCACTTTTTGATCTCAACATGATGCTTTTGTACAGAAAAAACAGAACAACTTTCATGTATTTTGATATATGTTATAGGTTTACATTTAACAATCCGTTATCCCCCTCAGCGAATGGGAATGCGGCAAATAATAGGTCGATTTTCTAGCTGTTAAATTTGGCAGCAGATTTGGACGTTTGTTAATGCATGGCACTCTCGAATTTACCAACTACAATATACTGAAAGTTATCATTACATACCTGTTGAATAGTGTGGATTTGTCTGTCTTTTGCAAGAAAATAGAATATAAAATACATTCCATCCAATTCCTCATCTTCCTGTACGTCATAATAGTAATCATTTATTAATTTATGGCTTAATGAATTTCTTGAAAGCAATAAAAACATTACATCCTCTCCATCCTAAAACACAGATAATATGTGTAAGACGTGTCAATCCCTACATCGCCCTGATGCATAATGCAATTACGATGGACATAGACAAAAAAATATGAAAAATGTTTCACAGATAATGGCTTTTAAGTCCAAAAATTAAAAAAACTAGTATTGTTTATTGTTTGTCTATTTTTATTTTTTGACTGGCGGGGATATCTATCTGACACTCGCAGGGTTGCCAAGTCTAACGACGATCACGTCCCGTGGTGAAGGGTGCGAAATGTATCTTTTACATTTGTTGGTTTTGAATTTTTTTCGTGAAAATTTACTAGGTATCATGACTATAAGCATCTTTGGTAGATTTTTCGATTCGGAATGGGAAAGATCTCCTATTTATGAAAATATTTTTGGTATCATCTAACCGTTGCAATTAGTGCACAAACACTGTGACATATGATTTATAGCATAATCCGCTGCCCTATTAATACAAATTTAACATACAGGTCGCCTAGCCGTGGGGATGCAGTGGTCGGCATAAGTATCACCGCAGCAACTGATGATTTGGGCATGTCTGGTAAGAACGTATGAAGTGAAACTCGCTAACTCCTCAAATCTGAAGATTTTGTGCAATTTCTTTGAAAATGATGAAAGATATGTCCGATTTGGCAGGGTAATGTCGCAGCCAAATGGCAGTCACCCTTTCTGACACAGTCCAGATCGAAAGATAACGATACTCATGAAATGTATTGATACTTCTAAATATGGGATCCTATCGAACATCCCTAATGTCAAGATGTATAACCCAAGGTACCGACGGAGCATTTTGCGGCGTCATGGAAATAATTTTAAATTTTCATTTGCATTTTTTCAAATGTTGTGCAATGATTTTGGGAAAAATATCACGAATAGTCTTATAAAACACAGTAGAGTATATTTCAGCAGTTGGCGGAACTTACTCCACTGGGACCAGGAGGGTGAAACGGGATATTAATGCACAATCTGGCAACACTGTCGCACCCTCACAAAATGGCCGCTGACAACCACATAAGTCACCGTGTTGTGATTAAATAGCATGGAATTAAACCTTCAGAGTATATATGTTTTGTGACTGATACCAAGAGTTGACAGATCCCACACATGTGTCACCCCTTGAAATGCAATAATCAGCTGTATTCAAATAATGTCTAATATAAATATAACCTAGAATGTGTACACGTGAAAAAAGAAAAATATAGCAAATTTGTAGTTTTTTTTGCAGGTTTTATAGGTTTGCTGGTAGCTTTAAGGCATATATTTGGGAATGTCTTAATCGCTGTGAATATAGTGTGGATGTTTGTTCAGAACAACGAAAAATATTCAACTTTATGGATGTATGGATATAAAAAAACCTGAATGGTTTTGTGGGTATATCAATCTAAGGTGCCATAATGGTTCTGATGAACGGCAAGTAAATGAATGAATGTTTGGAAACGAGCAATATCTTTTTGTAGAGCCTGTCATCAAGTAGGTGCTTAATGGCTGTCTGCAAGAGGTTTATAGGAAAAAACACCCAGTATTACATATCAGTTGAAGGAAATAATATAAACATGAATAAAAAATCAACAATATTAAATAAAAACATGAATTTCATTCAAAAATCGATTACTTTTTTAAATTTTGGCTAAATTATATGTAGTTTCTTAATATTCAATAAGCTGGTAATGTTTCAATGATAAGTTGTCATCTCATACTTTGGCAGTATTTTGTTTTCAACATTTCATAGCTATTGGTTGCTAAAATTTGTTGATTGGAACTTGAAGCTCATTCGCTGTATCTGTTACCCTATAGGTGGAGAATAACGGACTGTTGTTGAAATTGGGCCTTATTAAAGTATTGTCATATTCAATACATAGTTACATAAGAATATGGTGAAGTCTAGCGTGAAGCCCTTAAGTCTAACAAAATATAATATAGAACAGACTTGACATTATTCGGATACTAGGGAAGGTCAATAAGTCCGTGACTTTCTGAATAAATCACGGGTTTTTTTTTTAGAAAAAATCGTTTCATTTCCCTCTTTTTTGCGAAAAAACTTTTTATTCGACAACAAAGAATGAGAACGTGTTTCTTGGAATTCAAGCAAAAATGTTGGCAGGCACAAAAAAACTCTCCATATAAGATTTTTAGGTATTTATGACACCCACAAAATGAGACCACAGGTAAAAAGATCCGACTAATAGCAAAAAAGCTATGGCTAAAAATCGAGGCAAATTGCAGATTTGTCGGTAATGCGACGATGGTTTCTCGCAGATATTTGAAATTCTTCTAGTATCGGCGAAATTCGTCTTGCGCTTGCAAATAAGTTTTTATGTCAGCTTCCAAATTTGCGTCCAGTATGTTATTTTTAACAGCCGAGAAAAAGATATAACATTTTCAGAAGACACTTTTTGATTCCAAAGTTGAACTTTGAAATTAACAACTGAATATAATCATAATTGCTTATTATTGTGTTGTTTCTGCCCTGAAGTTTCAAATTTAGATCATTCAAGGAGTCAAATCTGTCAGTAAAATAAGCCAACCTCTACTGAAATCTGTCATCTTTGAACATTGCCAAGAAATCGTGTTTTTCTTTGAACTCAAGAAAAAGAATTACCTCTTGTCTCAATTAATAAAGGCGAGCCAACATGTTGCCTTTGGATAGCCAGCGTATTTCTGTATGGAACAGAAGAACTTTGTGATCAGAATCGAGATTCTCGCAAAGTACAGCAAATAACCGACTGTTCAAAGCGTTGCTCTTGATGTAGTTTACAATCCTTATAGCGGAGTCCGAGTTCTGTGGCAATGTTTTGGAAGATAATGCTTGCCGATGAATAACACAATGTGTACTAACCATTGCGGGATTTTTTTTTCTTGAGCATTTTAGCTAAGTCTGATCATACACCTATCATTGCAGGTGCACCACCTATGCAAAGTTCAATGAGTTTCTTTCAATCCAAATCATTTTTTTCAGCAAAATTTGATATTGTACTAAATATATCTTCAGATGTAGTACCTGCTGTCAAAGATTGGGAGTACAAAATCTCTTCTTGAATGATAAAAAATGGAGATAATTTTACTTTGTTAATTATTTGTGACTTTATGTCTGCTGCAATGTCATCGATTCTACGCTTGACTATGCTATTCGAAAGAGAAATAGACTTTATTTCTTGCTCTGCCTCTTCAACTAAAATTACCTGCGTAGCTTTTAGGACACATGGTTTTATTAATTCTTCACCGATAGTATGAGGTTTCTTTTGCTTTGCTACCATAAAAGCTATTTCAAATGACGCTTTGAGATGCTACGATACACCTGTGTGATAACTTTCCGATTTATCCAGTCTCACCCTCTTGAGTGATTCTGCTTTAGAAGAAAGAAACTCTTTCGTCTTCAAAACCAGAGTAGGATGTAGGATGACATATCACATACTGAGGTAATTGTAACTCGTCTTTTTCTATGAAGGTAAATCCAAGCTTAAGGTAATCTTCGGAAAACTTTCTTTTTTCGCTGCCATTTTGCACTATAACAATAAAACAAATAAGTAATCAATAAATAAGCAAAATACCTACGCGTAATTACTAATTATATACCCATTATTTTATCTTAATAACGTAATGTATTCAACAGTATATTGGCCACCGGGAGATTTATATTTTTGTAGGCAGGTTGACGTTATCATAGTAATTTTAAATACATTTGGAATCAATATTAGGTACTTAAAGTTCATCGTTTCAAATTTATTTTGCCACGTTGGTTTGATTGTGATGTTTTAAAAAAGTCCCTTTGGCCCATCTATGAACGCGTCTCCACTCAACCAACAATTTAGTAAATTAAATAAAAATGGCAACTGAAGTTTGTAAATATACAAACTTACCTTTTAACAGTGAGACACAATAATTTGACACAGTTAAATAGATTTCTCAACAAATCATGTACATCGAAACGTCAAATCTTTCGCAAGTTTGTGGGAATGAATGTCACAGATGCTCATCCGCCTCTGGTAGGTACACAATTGTATTCTAAGTCTAAAGGCCGGTCCAGACACTACGTCTTATCAAACTATTTATCGAATCAGACAAGTCTTATCAAGTAAAACGGCGCGTGTAGACCACAAAACGTACGTCTTGCATGATCGAAATAAGGTTGTACGAAAAGTCGAAAATTTGAAGTGCGAGGCATCATTTATGAAACTTGATTCGACAAGTTGGAGCGTGTGGACAGACTTCGGTTTTATTGGAAATTGTTTTAGTAAATTTTCATAGTATATACGTATCACACTGTGTTATTTTGTGTATGCGTATTTAAATATGATTTGCATTTTAAACTTTACAAGCAATATGTCTGATCTTCGTCAGTGTTCCCGACAATTTTTAAGAGAATTTATTCTATCGTAGATTTCCTTGTTTGTGGCAAGTTAAAAGTGCCGAGTATAGTGATCGGAATAAGAAGTCACAGGCATATGAAATAATGATTAAAAAATACAACGAGATTGATGAAGCGGCAAACAAAGAGACAGTTACCAAGAAAATTAACTCTTTACGCACCGTTTACAAAAAAGAGCGTGCCAAAATAATGAAATCCACAAAAAGTGGTGCTGGTGAAGATGATATCTACAACCCGACGTTATGGTATTTTGATTTGCTTGACTTTCTGAATGACCAAGATCAAATAAGACAGTCGACAAATACTATCGATGATGAGGCACATCAAGAGGAAAGTGAAAAAGAGGTAAGTAATGTCTATTTATTAATAATAAAACTACATTATATAGGTATTGAAAGCATTTTATTGCCCAGAATTATAGAATTCTCTTTTTATAACATGTTATACAAACTATGACCTATTGAAAAACTAAATTATCTTGCCATGGGACTGAGCCCTCATTGTTAAAATATTCACAGAACTTTTCTCTATTTTTGCATCATTAAAAATTTGGTCTCTTCTTCCTCTTTGAAGGTCATGCATTAAATTAGGGTCACACCTGTCTCCTAACGCAAGAGAATAATCTGCAGGAATATTTTCTCTATCCATACATAATTTTATGGAGACTTCCTGCGAAAGAAATTATGTAATGCACAACATGTTAGAACAACCTTGTCAATGTTCTCTATCTTCAAATTTATAGCAGTGTGTAAAACTCGAAATCGGGACGATAAAATGCCAAAAGTATTTTCAATAGTCCGTCGGGCTCTGGATAACCGGTAGTTAAAAATTCTTCGTTCTCTATTGAGTGTTTCCCTACTATATGGCTTGATAAGATCGGAACGCAGTGCAAAGGCCTCATCTGCAATAAACGTATATCCAAGAATTTCGTTAGAATTGGGCATAGATTCCGGATTAGGAAGTTTTAGATCATTATTGGCTAGTTTTTCATAAAATGTGGTATTAGCAATTACTCCACCATCAGAGATTCTACCATTTGTGCCAACATCGCAGTAGATAAACTCACAGTTCGCATTAGCAATTGCCTTAAGAACTATGCTATGCGTCTTTTTGTAGTTAAAGTAATATGATCCTCTTCCCTTGGGAGGAACAATTCTGATATGCTTGCCATCAATACTACCCAAACAATGCGGAAATTGCCATTTTTTTTAAAGTCGGCTGCTATTTGTAACCACTCCTGTTCGCTTTTTGGAAACTAAAACAAAAGAGATTACATTATTCTTACCTTTATAGTAACTTGTAAATACATATTCTTATCGTTTAATAATTTTAGCGATAAAATTTAAAAAATGGAACCTTAAATGAGTTAATGGAACTTTGTTTTGAATTAAACATGTTTAAGTTTTTTTATACATTTTATTTACGGTTGTATTTTTGTTGTATTATAAAATTGTAATATTTTTTGTTTCAGGTTGACTTGGATTATCAGAGTTTTCCTGCTACACCATCTACAGGTCGGCCATCTACTCCGACTGGTGATACCGCTACCAGTGCCCTGCTACCTACACGCACTGTAAATCGCAAAAAGAAGGCGGCCTCAAATAACAACGGAACAGCCGAAGTTATGTCTAAAATTGATAAAAAATTGGACTTATTGCAGGAAGATTCACATGACCGATTTGGAAAACATGTCGCTGATAGACTTCGATCAGTTCATCCTGATCAACTTAAATTTGCAATGAAACTTATCTCTGATGTTTTATTTGAGGCAGACATTATCCTTAAACAGATATTCCAAAATTATAACTGAAGACCAACACCCTCCTCAACAGTCTCCACGAGAAACCAAAAAGCCACACTTTAACCAATATGCGCCACCTTGTGTCACCAATACCGAATCAAATAGACAAATTTCAAGTCAAGGCTGGCGTCAAGGGTATTACGTACCGGAAATCGGTCAAGAACAGCATGTCCAACAGCTACAACTAATTCATAATTCAACCACACCGGAGGAACCCGCTAACACAAATTTTACTCTTTCAGACTATCCAACCCCAGTTTCAGAAAAGGACACAGATTCTAATCCCAAAGATCTTGTTCAGTATGTTTTAAATTTTAAACCTAATGAGGGTGTTTAAATAAATCAAAAACGTGTCATCACTAAATTAATTATTGGTAGTGTATTATGGAAGTCGTTTTTTTATTTTTTACTTTTCTTCACTAATGTTTAGTTTATTTCTAATAAAAGCATTTTCCAAAACTCACCTTCAGGAAGTCTTTTTTTAAAACCCTGTAAATAACGTCACAAGTTTCCGGTATAATTTCACTCAGTGATTGCTTGGACATGATGGTGGTGAATTCCAAGTCTTTGTAGCTTCTTCCTGTGGCAAGAAATCTTAACGTGGCACTAAGTCTCTCATGAGCTGAAATGGCTTTTCTCATACAGGTATTTTGCCTTTCAATGTAAGGAGTAACAGATTTTAACAAATGGTTGAATGTTTCAGTGTCCATCCTCAGGTAATTACGCCAATCATCTGGTTCAAGTTCACGTAATAATCTGACATGAGAAAATTCCTGTCTTTTTAATAACCATTCCCTCGACCATCTTAATTTTCGATTTTTTCGTTTATTTCTGCCTTTTATCGCAATGCAAATACCATAGAACGACCAAAGAAGTGCTTCTTCCATGACTGAAAACGTCGCAAAACTAAAATTTGACCGATTAGTTGTAAACGTGTGGCCGCGCTATCTTTTGTACTTTTTGTCGAACAATTTGTATGAACGTTTTATCGTTTGATAAGATGTACTGTCTGGACCGGCCTTAAGGCCCGTATCGTCAGTCATCCCTACAATTGTAGGGCGCCTTTATGGCCTCCTTGATTGTCATAGTTTTCTACTTCTCCCTGTCAGAACTCTATTTTGAGGTTATGTCACAAACATCTATTTGCATCAAATTGTGCTTGCTTTTGAGTTATATCATGTTTTATCAGCCTGAAATTTCCTACAATTTAAAAAGAGAACATATCTTCACAATAGAAGAGCGCTGACGCTGACACGGGACAAGTGTAATCTAGAAATTTTTGAAGGAGAGAAAGCAGGATGACAAACAAGGAGGCCATAAACGCGCCCTACAATTGTAGGGACGACTGACGATACGGGCCTAAGTGATGAACCTTAAGCGGAGCGCGACGGGGATGCACGCGGATTTCATGTTGTGACTTGTCGAAACTTGTATGAACTTCGATTGACGACGCCGTATTTTGAAACAGCGGTTGACAGAATAAGTGAATATGATATTTAATTTCTAAGTTCATGCGTGTAAATTAAACATTAGATTGTAATGTTATTTGTTACTGTTGTTTGTTTATTTTTTTGTTTCTAAAATGCCCCCGAGACATCTCTCTATGCCCCCCTAGGAAGGCGCGCCCCGCTGGTTGGGAGCTCCTGCACTAAAAGGCACTTTGGTTATCTGACTTGCACAAGACATAAATCTTAGCAACAGAAATCATATGAGCTCCTAGAAATCTCTTGCTCCAAGTTGTTGCGTTATTACGTTTAGCATTGTAAATGTATGTATGCAATGTGCTGTCATTTACAGAGCAGTGTATCGAAATCGGAGTATATCAGAAAAGATGATTAGTATGTAATTGAAACAGTGGTGGAGTCAAACTCTAGGAGAATCCGTATTGACGTCGTATTAAGAGAACTCGTCATGTACGACGATCAGTTCATAAAAAAATAATAAATCTGTAGCTCACCTGGAAAACTTCTCTGGAAGGTCAGAGACGGTTATGCACAGCTGATCGAAAGCTTTTGCAATATCAAGAACAATGACGCCAGCCTCAAAAGCTTTATATCAAAAGCTTAAATGGAATAACTGACCAAATTTTTAACTTTCGCGGCTCCATATTGTTCTGGTCGAACTCGGTGCCATAATAGTTTGCCAAGGGGAAATTTTAATAATTTTCTGGAACACCTTTAACGCCATAAAAATAATTAAAACCCCGCAGTTCCGAAACTTCCCGGGCAATTCCGAAGTTTTGAATAACATTACTCTTTCGTATAGCTAACATTGTTTTGAAGTTGGGAGGAGTATAAATAGATTTAAAACTGGCGCAAAGTTGGTAGCAGTTGGGGAGGTTTTTGCTATGTGAGGGAAATCTGAAACTGTTCACGAACACGTTACTTGGTTAGAGTTCGAGGAAGAGAGGGCCGTGCGGTTATCCCAATTATGCCGTGAAGGATTTCCAATTCTCCTACTTGGCTTACTTATTAAAATTTCCTCGTATATAGTATACGAGTGTAAACAGAGAAGGATTCTCAATTCCCCCACTTAGCTGAGCTATTAAAATTTACTCGTATACGAGGGATGCCTTTTAAGTTTTGCATATGGAAATAAAAGAACAAGGTAGGTAGTTTTAAATGACTTTATTGTTTTTCGAAGTATTCTCCACGAAGATTAATACACACTCGTTTGCTGACAGATCCAAAACGTCATTCCTGAATGCGTCAACTGCTTCTTCTGGTGACTGGAACCTTTGACCACGCAGTCTTAGGACTTAGATCGGGAGTATATGGAGGATGGTCCAATAATTCCACGTTGTCTTCCGCCCTGTTTTTTGGGCTGTGTGCGAGCTTGCGTTGTCTTGGTGGAGGATGAGTCTTCTTTCGGGGTTGATTTTTCGAAGCTCGGTGATGACTTTTGGCAAACAAATGGTGGTATACCAATCCGCAGTAACAGTTCTTTGCTCATTAAGAGGAATTGTTGCAATATGACCCGCTTTTGATACAAATGTCGCGACCATCTTTTTTAGAAACACTTCGTTAACGGATGACTTTTGTCGGCTTTTGTTCACCTTGGAACACCCAAACAGCCGACTGTCGTTTATTTTCTGGTTAATAACAGTAAATCCACGACTCATAACCACTAACAATGCTGTACACATTTTTTGAGTTTCCGGAATTGAAACGGTCAAGCGTTTTTTGACACCAATTAACCCTGGCTACTTTCTGCTCTTCAGTCAACAGGTGGGGTATCCAACAAGAAACTAATTTTCTTACTCCTAATTCTTCATGTACAATTTTTTGAATTGAAGTCTTTGAGATCTTCAAGGACGCCTCAATCTCGCGATATGTCACATGCCTATCTTCAATGATGAGTTTGCGCACAGAATCGACGTTTTCCTGGGTGACTGCCGTTTATGGTGCACCCACCCTGGAATCGTCGCTAAGACTCACCCGTCCACGTTTGAATTCTCCATACCAACGGGAAACTGTCGACTTCAGCAAGACATTCTTGTGGCGATAATTGTCTCTGAAAGCTGTAATAAATTATTTTTCTAATGATTTGGTGACACTTAAAAATTCACTGTAGTGAGTACACCGCACGTATTGTTGTGAAACTTTGAATTTAAGTTTACTAAAGAGTGAGGTTAAGATTCAGTACTGACGTTCGATCCGCGCGGCCTACTATGTTTCTATATGTAAAACTTAAAAGACATCCCACGTATACCGGGTATTTCGTATTAGACGCTCGCAATTGGGATCTCGAAAACTGTAAGAGATACGAAATCGCTCAAATTGGGACAAGGTTGCCTATTCAGGTAACTAACAAACTGCCACTTAGTAACTTAGACATTGGTAGTATAACCGGAGAAAATTGAATTTTCCCATTTGTTCCTAAATTTATTTGTAGTGGGACTTCTAAACAAATTGCGCGGTACCATTGCCACTTTTTTCTGCTCTATTGGATGGGATAGAACTTCAAGATGACGTTTTTTATCTTGTCCTCCAGCGTCAAATTTATTTTTCTCAATGACGCCATATTGGATTTTTGTACAGGTGAATAGAGTTCTTAATTCTGATTCCCAAAATGTATACTAAGTGACATATAAATCCGAACACCCAGTTTAAATGGTTTTATTTTAATAAAAGTTGGTGAATGTATTTATCTTACTGTAAGTAACAAGTGAAAAAATTTTCAGCCTTATCAGTTGGACATTCCGGTTTTTATACTGCTTTTTTTTTATTCACTAACGCTCTAAAAATGAATATTTTAGCCGCAGTAAAGAATCAACGTTGGCGGATTTTGGTTCTTGACATCCTTTACGATCGGTTACGATGCCTAGAGTACGGAGACCTGTACGATTTCGTCAACTTAGTGAGTTTGATAGGGGCCGTATAGTGGGACTTCGGGAAGCTGGACTTTCTTTTCGGGCAATTGCAGTTAGAGTGCAAAGAAGTGTAGACACTGTGGTTAGGTGTTGTCAGGCATGGCTTCGAGAAGGCCGTACGCAAAGAGCAAGGGGCACTGGACGCCGCCGTAGAACAACAGACCGTGAAGATCGCCGCCTAAGATTATTGGCCTTAAGCGACCGTTTCTCCACTACCAGGTCCATTGCAAATGAATGGTTTGCAGAACACGGAATACCTATTGGCATGCGAATTGTTTACCGACGAATGAGAAGTTTTGGCTTGTTTTCATACCGGCCACACTGGGTCCTCCCTTTAACTCGAGAACACCGACGTAATCGCCTTGAGTGATGCAGACAACAGTCACTCTGGGATCAGGAATGGAACAGTATTGTCTTTAGTGATGAGTCTCTATTTTGTTTAGGCATGCACGATGGTCGTGCCAGGGTTAGAAGGTGACGTGGTGAAAGGAGGAATCCGCAGTTTTTTTTTGAAATACATGTTCATCATACTGTTGGAGTTATGGTTTGGGGTGCTATAGCTTATGGTTCCAGGTCACCTTTAATCTTCATCAGAGGTAACATGAACGCACAGCGTTATATCCACGAAGTTCTAGAACCCCATCTTTTACCCTATCTTGACACCCTGGCAGATCCAACTTTCCAACAAGATAATGCCCGACCACATGTTGCAAGAGTCACAACAGACTTCTTTCAACATAATGATGTCACATTGTTACCATGGCCACCAAGATCTCCCGACTCATCCCCAATTGAGCACGTGTGGGATATGATGGGTAGGAGATTGCTCAATTTGCAACGTCCTCCTCAGACTCTAGAAGCACTTCGAGAGGAGTTGGTGGTTGCCTGGAATGAGATACCACAGGAGGACATTGACTACATGATCAGAAGCATGCCTAGGCGCGTTGGAGTATGCGTAGCACATCAGGGTGCATCCACACATTATTAAAGGTCAAAGGGCTTTAAAGCAGTGCAATCATTTTGAAATTTTTATCATTTACTTATTATGCTTCATTAAGTACTTATACAAAATTTTATTAAAATAAAACCATTTAAACTGGGTGTTCGGATTTATATGTCACTTAGTTTATGTCATATAATTGTCATTGATAAACCAAAATAATTTCCGATATTGGCCTTGAAATTCTCAGATAGTCATCTGTTTCACATACCAGACTTATCGCAAAGTCATTTTTATCTTGTCCTGACTTTATTTAGGATGGGACTACAAAATATACTGAGTGACAAGACAGTGAAAGACACTTGCGTATGTTTTTTAGAATTCAAGAATTTCTTACTTATTAATTTATCTTGTCATGAGTAACAAGTGATATTGGGTGCTACCTCTCACAGCTGAACATCGGCGTAACCGTTTGCTCTGGTATAGAGAAAGAATCCTATGGGATCGGGAATGGAATCAGGTGGTCTTTAGTAACGAATCCCGGTTCTGTCTGTAAATGCACGATGGTCGGTCAAGGATGAGGCGACGTAGTGAAAGACGTGACCTACA